CAAAATAAATGGAGGGTGTGCATACAAGAATTCTCTCTTATTCAATAATGAAAAGTTTTCTAATTGATAACACACTATTTTCTCTCTCTCTTTCCTTATTTATATACTCCTCCTTCCTTACCCTAATCTTCTTTTTTTGATGCCTACACCTTTAGGAATTTAGGCCGTCTCACTCATGGGCCAACCCATGTTCTTCTTCGTGGTTGTATATGGGCCTTTGGTGCCTAGCATGGGTTGACCCATGCTTTATTTTGATATCTTCCAGCGACACATGTACCTCTTGGGAGGCACACTTGTAAAGCCCTTATGGGTGGTTATTTTTGCCTCCTCACCGACCATTAATTTTGCCCATAGAATATTAGTATGTTTTGGGGTGTGGATTAGGCAGCGGCGTGTGTATGATCATGGGGGTTATCCATTGACTTCCATGGTTCATTCAAAGGAGCACCAATATCATGTGATGAAAATATATATATATATATATATATATATATATATATATATATATATATTTTGCCACTGTCACTGTTTCTTTTAAATTTTAAGGGAACTATATAATAGCAAGGGGTGAATTATTAATGGGCTAACCTGGGCTATAGCCCAGGTCCGATTGATAATTTTTTTTTTTATATTACTGTTTATATAAGCTCAATGCATATATAATTAATTTGTAGTACTACTCTTTCTCTTTCTATTAGTCCAATTATTTATACATTTATCTGGGTTATATGCTGCTACTATCCTTCTTCTTTGAACTATTATTGTATTTATCTTTTATTTTTTCCCCCTTTAAGCAAGAGCATAAATTATGTTAATTAGAAACTACAATTCAAAAAATTTAGTAAGGTTAGAAAGTGAGGAAACATCCAACTTTTTATTCAAATTAGGATATAAACCCATATTATCTAGAAGATGTGCGGTCTTATTTCAAAGTCTAGCACTTTTATCAATTAATAGTTGAATAGATGTTCAAGATTCAATTAGATAATTTTGTATTTTATTTTTACCCGGAAAACGAAATCCAATGGGTACTTTGATGGTAGATAACAAATATGTTCGTATACCTGATTTTAAGTTGAGATCTAAACTTAGTAAATTAGGTTTCTAAATCCTCTAGGATCAGATCTTCAATAAAAAATGATTAATTTCATGATCTAGTTACTTGGACATGGAAGTAAAACCATATTGAACACAGTATACCTTTACCATATTTCACTTTTACAAATTTTTTTTTTTTTTTTATATTTCACAACATTTGTTGTGCTCATCTTCAAATTTTTTTTATTTTTTTATTTATCTTTAATCCTCTTTACTTTGCAATCTCGACTCCGCCCTTGTATAATAAAATGCTTCCATGAGTCGATGATTGTGTTGATATCTTCCATGTTAATCAATATTCGAGATATTATGTTGTGGACTGGACGGATGTCCCTGTCAAAACCATGCAAGGAATTTTGTGTAAACACAATTGATGCAAGAATTTATAATTTTTTGTCAATTGCATAAATAAATAAATAAATATATTTATATATTAAATTTAATTACCTTGAAGTCTGCATCAAAGTTTGAACGTGGATTCTGAGTTGAGTTATTATCCACAGTATCCCAAAAGGGAGATTGCAACATCAAAATATGTAAACATGTTAAGAATTTAACTAATTCAACAGATATATCGAAAGTACAAAACGAACCAAGTTTTAGGATACCATATTTATTTTTACTTATAAAGCCTCTTTATATACAAACTATAGAATCTGTTGAGAGAGAGATTAAAATAATACAAATGATAAATGTCTATATTAATAATATTTGTACATGTAATATACGAGGTTGCCATTCCGTTCACAAATCCTTCTAGAATGTCCAATTCGTAATTAAGACGGTCCTTGACCAGTGCATCTGTCCAGGATGAAATAAGATGGTTTTAATCAGGTTTTGGACCATCAACGTCAACACGAACCAAATCAAAAAGTTGCATGTAGATTGAGACACATGACAAATTTATCCACCTATAATAAATAACATAACATAACTGAAACTAATAATATAAATTTAATTACAAATGGGACTCATTCTGAAGCATCTATATAGATCCATTGCAGTTCTTTCTGTGCTTCTTTTCTTGATAATTGTTAGGCGCTGAATGTTATACATTTTAGTCCTTTATTCGTATGTTTTATTCTCTTAATAATACTTTATTTGTGATTTTACATTGTTTTATTGTTTTTATTTATTTCAGGGCTTTAATTGTAAAATCAGTCAAGACCAGTAATTCTGAGCTTTAAAAAATGACATTCCGTGGGACCGAGCAATGTTGAAGATCCAAGTCTAATTATACTTAGAAAATAGTCCAAAAGAAGTCACAAGTTGATAAGAATGGAAAGTAAAAGAAAAAGAAAACTCCTTCTCCAAAAAGGAAACTTTCGCCAAAGTTGGTAACTTGAACCCGTTTTAGTTAATCTGGCTGTATCTCTTTCCTCAAGCGTCAAAACAGCTAAATTCACGCGGTGGTTGATAGGAAATTCGAAGAGCTACAATTTTGTGTTTCACGAGCTTTCCCTAAAACAATTGTTTACCTTGTCAAAATTAGCCTAGAAGTCTGCCCATATTTTGGGAGTCCTTCTTCGACAGAATTTCTATATATGTCTCCTATATGAAAAAGGGAACTATGGGGCTGATATTTTATTATTTAAAGGGGGTCCTCTACAACATTGGAGGAGAGAGAGAGCAGCGAGGTTGAGATCAGAGAGGAGAAGTATTCGGAAGAAAGAAGAGATTGATCCATAGCGGTGAAGATGTCTTCCTCAACTATGAAGAATTCCACCACAGTCATGCTTTGCTAAACGCTTTGCTAGGGTTGTGATGTAGCCCTAGCTTAGCACCCTAGTTTGATTGTATTTAATTATTGGAGAATAATTTCTATCATGCATGATTGTGTAATCTATAGGGTTTTTAATTGAATTTTCAATAAGAATCGGTTTTATAGTTTTAATTCAATTACAAATATTTTTCTATCTTGTCTTAGATATTTTGATCTTGTGATTGAACACAACTCATTCACTTTTTGTAGTTGTGAATGAGATAATTACACAATGATATTTCTCTGAATATAATGTTAGAGATTTGATGGATTATACCTAGAAAAGATAGACCATGCTACACCTTAGAGTAAAGTAGATAGGTAGATGGTTTATACCAATTGAAGATAGTCCATACTTAGCTTTAAATTATATTATTCTCTAGCTGAATTAATATGTGCTTGTAGCCATGATTAATTCCCTGTGCATGTTATATGATATATCTCCAATAAATTGATGCAATTAACTGGTGGTGCGACGTTAGTGGTGAAATCATACCCCTAGTTTTCTCTCTCTATTTTCTACATCATATTTAATCATTGTTCTTTAGTTTATTTTATTTTTCTACTTAGTTAATTTAGAATTAATCATCACAATTCGATTATCCTACTTTTAAGTTAATTTTGGAATTTAAGAAATCTGTTGACAAACTTAATTTACACAAGTCCCTTGGGTACGACACCTTTACAAGTAAACCCTATCTGCAAAGATTCGTGTACTTGTGAGTGGTACATAATCTCACAACAAGTTTTTGGCGCCGTTGCCAGGGACTTGTTTTAGTTTTTGACAGATAATATTAAATTCTACAATTAATTTCAATTAGGATCTTAGTTTAGGATTTTATTTTATTTATTTTATTTTGATACTGTTTTCTTTTAATCATTACAGGTGACATTATATGCTTGGAAGACGTTCTTTGTCACTCCCTTAGCTTCCATTAGACCCAGAAATTGAAAGAACTCTCAGAAACTTGAAGAAAGAAAAGATGGCAGATGATTTACTAATTGTAGAAGCAGTTTGCTGTTTAAAGAATCACTACGAACCAGGTGCATACAACTCTTCATCTGCAGTTCGATATCCTCAAGTGAGGGCCCCTTACTAAGAAATTAAGGCCAGTACTCTTCAGTTACTGCCTTCTTTTTACGGCCTACCAAAGCGGATCCATACCGGCACTTGGATGACTTTGCAGAGGTGTGCAGAACAATAAAAATCCAGAGTTTTGACGATAATGTGCTCAAGCTACACCTTTTCTCCTTTTCATTAAAGGACAAGGCGAATGACTGGTTTAATTCATTGCCAGCCGACACCATCACTACATGGGCTGAATTGCAACAAAAGTTTTTAAATAAGTACTTCCCCATGGTGAGAATCACTCAATATCGAGATGCTATTACTCGTTTTGGTCAAGGGCCTGACGAGCCTTTTCATGAGGCTTGGGAAAGATTCAGAGATCTCCTTCGGAAGTGTCCTCATCATGACATGCCAAAATGGCAGCTTGTCAACTTCTTTCATAAGGGGTTCAATGAGGCACAAAGGTATATGGTGGATGCCTCTTGTGGTGGAAATTTTATGTTGAAAAGTGTAGAGGAAGCATAGTAGCTCTTTGAAAATATATCTGATAATTCAACACAACATGTCTTACCTCCAGTAGTAAGACCTCCTACCATAATGAGGAGAGCAGAAAGTGTGAATGAAACAGGAATAAATCAAGGGCTAGTGAGCCAAATTGAGGCATTAACCAAGAGGTTGGATCAATTGATGACTTCACAGTCAAATTTTACTCCTTCTTTGACTAATGCTCAAGGCTTTGAAGTGTGCTCTTTCTGTTCTAGTCCATCTCACCATGTGTCCATTTGTCCAAGTGCATCTCAGTATTCAGGAATTTCACGGGAGCAAGTTAATGCTGCCTATGGAACACCCGGAGGGAATAATATGTATTCAAACACTTACAATCCGGCTTGGAGAAACCATCCTAACTTCTCATGGAGAAATTCAGCTACAGAGACATCAGCTCCTCCACCTCAAGTACCTCAAGTGCAAGGCAATTTTTAATCTCCAGTTCAGACTTCAAATCCTCAAGGATTCACACCTATAAATGCCTTCAGTCAACCTCAACAATTCTTATCAATGTTCGAGGAAATGATGGCAAAGCAGTTAGAGCCAACTAATCAACTTGTGCAGTTTCATTCTCAATCCCTTGCCAAGTTAGAGACTCAAGTTGGCCAACTAGCTCAAGCCTTGAATAGAAGAGAAGATGGTAAGCTTCCTAGTCAACCAGTGGCTAATCCAAGAGGTGTGCGTATAATTGATGAAGTTACTGGCCAAGAAGTTCACCATGAACAAGTGCAAGCAATTACTACTCTCAGAAGTGGTAAGAGAGTTGAAAACAAGGTGGAAGAAGAGGAAGCAAAGAAGGATGAAAAGTGGAAGAAAATACTTGAAGAGAAAAAGGAGCGGAATGAAAAAGCACAAGAAGTACCTCCAACTACTGAGCCATCTCCAGAACAAAGGCATGTTGTTGTGCCATTCCCTCAGAGACTACAAGAAACATCAAAGGCAGCAAAGCAAGCAAGCAAACTTCAGGACATAATGGAGATGTTCAAACAGGTGAAGATTAATCTCCCATTGCTTGATGCAATTCAGCAAATTTCAGCTTACACCAAATTTTTGAAAGATATGTGTACTCAGAAGAGGCGTTCAAATAGTCATATTCCTAAGAAGGTGTTACTAACTGAGCAAGTCAGTTCCATAATCTAGCATTGCACTGCTCCAAAATTCAAAGATCCAGGCGCTCCAACAATTTCATGCACAATAGGGAATCATCAAGTAGAGCGAGCTCTCTTGGATTTGGGTGCCAATGTAAACCTTCTTCCTTATTCAGTTTACTTGCAACTCGGATTAGGAGAATTAAAGTCTACTTCCATTATTCTCCAATTGGCAGATAGGTCAACCAAACAGCCTCGTGGTGTTATTGAAGATGTGATCATTAAAGTAGATAAATTCTACTTCCCAGTTGACTTTATTGTGCTAGATACCGAGCCCGTTCCGGAACCAAGGAGGCACATTCCTGTGATCCTTGGTCGTCCTTTCCTTGCAGCAGCAAATGCGAGCATAAATTGTAGGACAGGTGTCATGGACGTATCTTTTGGTAATATGAAGGTGCGCTTAAATATTTTCAATGCCAGTCAATACCCTTTAGATAATAATGATTGTTTTCTAGTCGATGCCATTGATGAATGTGTTGAAGAGATGACCCCATTTGCATTGACAAAAGATCCACTGAAAGCATGTCTATCTTACTTTGATGCCGAGTCATTTGATGTTAAGAAAAGTATTGAAGAGGTGAATGCCCTGTTTGATGTAGCGAGTATGCACAACACTACACCATGGAAGATTCCTATTGAGCCACTTCCACAATTGTCAAGTAAACCACCTATACCATCTTTGGAGTGTCCGCCAGAGCTAGAGCTAAAGCAGTTACCCTCTCATCTGAAATATGCATTTCTTGGGCCAGATTGTACTCTTCCAGTAATTATTTCAGCAAAGCTATCAGACGTACAAGAAGAGAAATTATTAGAAGTACTAGCCAACCATCGAGAAGCTATTGGCTGAAGTGTGGCTGATCTCAAAGGGATTGATCCCTCAGTATGTATGCATTGGATTTTCTTCGAAGAAGATTCTAAACCTTCGCGAGAAGCACAAAGGAGGTTAAATCCAAATATGAAAGAGGTGGTGAAAAAGGAAGTAGTCAAGTTACTTGATGTAGGCATTTTTTACCCAATTTCAGACAGTCAATGGGTGAGCCCGATTCAAGTGGTTCCAAAGAAATTTGGGATCACTGTGGTGAAAAATTCTGAAGGCACTTTACTTCCCCAACACACTACTACAGGTTGGCAAGTGTGCATAGATTACTGCAAATTGAATTCCAAGACACGGAAGGATCATTTTCCTCTCCCCTTTATTGATCAAATATTGGAGAAACTGGCAGGGAAGAAATTTTATTGCTTCTTGGACAGGTATTCTGGATACAATCAAGTTGCCATTCATCCTGACGATCAGGAGAAGACAATTTTCACCTGTCCATATGGTACTTTTGCCTATCGCCGTATGCCTTTTGGACTCTATAATGCACCAGCCACTTTTCAGAGATGCATGATGGCTATTGTTGTCGGTTTCCTTGATGGAGTCGCCACAACCAACAAAGCTTGAGAGTTGTGTGTATTTAGGAGGTGGCCAAGTTTTACATTTATAAAAAGCCACTACTACCTTTCTCTATATAAAATATAGATAGGGCGAGTAGGGATCGTCCCAAGGGATTTGATGGTGTATCGAATTGTGAACTATGGTAATTAGGGTTAGTAGGTCGAGTGATCACACAATTGGTTGGTTGGTTGATTATACTAAATGAGCTAAACTATAATAAAGCAATGCAATAAGATAAAGAGTAAGTAAGAAGGAAAGGTCTTGGGGTGTAGAGATCACCACCAAACAATACTATTCCAAACCATAATCAAGTGACTAATGAGGGAAATGAATGTGTTGCAACAATGTTGTGTGTGTAAAAGACATTCAATTGGTAAGGGTGACTCAACAAGTGCAAATTGTCTCAATCAACATGTGTGAGGCCACAATACATCTATTGGTAGAGGAATATATTGTCTAAACATCATGTGAAGATAACAAAATAACAATTCAAGTCATTGAACCTTTCATTAAGCTCATAGTCCAAGCAATCCATAAGGATGACTTAGTTAAACATGCATTATCTAATCATCATGTGAGAGGTACAAAATATCTATTGGGAGAGGAATAAATTGTCTAAACACATGTGAAAGATACAACATATCATAACTAATCATTAATCCTTCATTAAGCTCAAAATTCCTTTACACCACAAAATTAGAGCATATGCTTCTTGCATTCAAAAGCATGGAACATCAAAGAACAAGCATGAATTGTTTCCCCAACTAACACTACACTACTTAAAAGAGAAACATAATCCATCAAGGAATAAGTATGAACCATCTAGAGACATAATAAGAGCATTACATTAAGAACTTCATATTTTGGCAATCTCAAGATTAAAGGCATTAATACACATAGACATGCATCAATAACATTAAATCTAGAGGTGAGCATCTACTCTAGCATACATAGACATATAGATAGAGAAAATGATCAATTAGAAGCATTAATCCATAGAACTCAATGAATAATCAAGATCTTCATAAGTTCAAGAATCAAAATATGCATTACAACACAAATCCCTCAAAATTACACAAGATTAGGTAAAGAAAGCATGTTTGGGGCTAACTCTAGCCCCAAGAAGATGTCTAGCCACTCATGGTAGTGATGATCCAACACTCAAAGGCTAACTCCATGGCTGCTCCTTGTAGATGAAGATCTCCTCCAATGGTTGCTCTAGCTTCCTCCCTTCTTCCTCTCCAAGAATAGCCTCCAAGATGATTTTCAATGTGTGACAAGAGACTCTAGGCTCCTCTCCAAAAAGTGTATCATATTCCTTATATAGGTAGGTCAAATACACCCTATGATGAGCTGTGGTCATGCAAGGCATATTCTCCAATGATTGGGTGAAGGACGGAATAAATGAGCTGGACTTTAACTTTTTCTCGCTGGAGGAAGTTCGATCGATCGAACCTTAACTTGGATCGATCGAAGATGGGTTCGATCGATCGAACTGCATCTTGGATCGATCGAAGTGGTCTGACTCCTCCGGATAAGGACAAAGCTGAGATATTTCGAAGATATTTATAGGGAAAAGGACAAAAGTGGTTGGTAGGCGTACAGCTGTGGATAAGATCAATCATTTGAATAGGACAAAACAGGGTTCGATCGATCGAAGGTGATGTTGGATCGATCGAACTTGGAATTTCAGCAAAGGCCAAGGTTGGATCTATCGAGAAGTACTGTGATCGATCATAGATGTTCGATCGATCGAACTCTAAGTTGGATCGATCGAACTTTTCAGCTGCACAACTTTGATTCCTTTTTGCTCTTTTCTTTCTCCACTTTGCTCCCTCCTTTGGTTTATCTCAGGATTGCTTTAATTAAGCTCTTATTTGGCTGAGTTAGCTCAATTTTGGGATTAGTGCCTGAAAATATAAATAACACGTAATAAGTCTAAAACGGCAAAGTAAGATAGATAAAGGTACTAGAATGCTTAAGCTTAACGGGTTTAAATGCGCACTTTTCAGTGCTCATCACACCCCCAAACTTAAATATTGCTAGTCCCTAGCAATGAACTAAGAAGTAAAGGAATGAAATGAACAACTAAACAAGTATAAACTGGAAAGCAAGTAAAATGATAGCGCCACTTTCGTAGGGAACACGATTGCATTTAGCATATGCAACAAGCCTTTTAAACCCCTAGGTTACCCCTAATGGACGAGTAAAGTCTCGTGAGGGTTTCCAGAAATGGTACCCACAAACATTAAGCTCATTTTTTCAAAAGAGGCACCAATATTGCAAACAAGCATTGGGAGAAAACTACCTCAAGTATGCAATTTTTAAACCGTTTCTAAGCAATCTCCCAAAATTTCAATATCAAGCAAGCAAGCATGGTCCTCCACATATCAAGAAAATGATCATGAAAATCAAAACAAGTCTAGAATCCATGTGAGAGGTCCGGCATCAAGTGTGTTACTATCTTAGCAAACTAGAGAAGTAATTACATCCTTACCCTCAAACTAGCACACAAATCTAGTACCGATCATCAAGATAAGAGAGTGGACCTTTTATTAAAGCTTTATTGTTCTAGGTGCGCTTATTCTTTTCACTCTATTTTATTTTTATTTTTATTTTTTATTTTTTATTGAGGATCAAAGATGGAAGTATTGTGCAATGTGTTGATCTCTTAAGCTTTCTAGAAGATTCATGTAGCGAGCTTTAGGTCAATGACTCCCAAACCAGATGGCTTTAGGGCATTAGGTGTTAAGACACCCCTACGGACTTACAAACTCAAATCAACTAGGCTACAAATCAAGACAACAACCATCTAATCATTTCTCACTTCTCACCTTTTGGGAGAAGTCCTCACTTTTATTGCTTTTTGCAACTTCTTCTTCTTTTTTTTTTTTTTTTTTTTTTTTTTTTTTTTTTTTTTTTTTTTTTTTCAATTCAATTATTAACCTAGAGTTTGGGCCCCCCACCTTTCGGCGCGAGAAGTTCACTGCTTAATGAGGCAAGAATCCCGGCTACTCAATGAAAAGGGGTTGTTATCCACCTTTATCAAGAATGAAAGATTTCAATGCACTACTAGCCCAATTAGGATATAACCAATTCAATAATCAACAAAGCATGTACCCCACAATTGAATGCTAGCGTGCGCCGGTGCTAGTGTAGAATCCTAGAATGAATCTCAAAACAATCACAAAATCAGGATGATGTGGACCACAAATGCAAGCAAGATATCAATCTTTTGAAAAATTTACTCCTAAATGGCATCCTCAAGGCATACAAGGAGTATTGGACTCTCAAGTCAAGCAATTTTTAAATTTTAAGCAATATAGTCCTCAAAAGATCAAAATCATAGCTAGAAATGGACCAAGTATAGAAATATCCCTCAAATACACAAGACATGCTCAAAATTTGAATTTTAAAGTAACACTGAAACATACACCAATACCCCCAAACTTAAACTGCACATTGTCCTCAATGTGTGAAGAGAACAAAGGAAAGAGTATATCAGTGCTTTAGACATGAATGATCGGGATAGAAGTATCCAAAGTGGGTGACATGGCCCCCCCCAAACTTGGGATAAACTATGGTCCTGAAAAGTTTGCACTCGGATAAACTCATTAGATAACAAGATAGGATAATCAGTGCACAGTGGACATGCAAGTGTAAGATGGGATAAATAGAGAATAGAGAGAGAGGTGTAAGAGTGGTCCTGAAAAATTAGGCAGCACTCTCTCACTGAAGTCACTATGGTGTACCTGATGGAGTCAAACATACAAATATGAGATACTAAGAGACATCCATAATCAAAAAGCAATATATAGAGAACATAAAGTGCAGGTACATTAATAAAATAATAAAGCCGACAGACCGGCCGCAAAGTATAATACAGTAACAGTGACAGTATAATACAGATCCAGAATAAAAGAAATGAAAGCATAGAACAACTGGAAGTGGAGTCTCAGGAGGCCTGATCGTGAAGATCTGCAGTGGCTGGAGGTGCAGGTGCAGGGAGTCGGCTGGAGAGATCGGCAAAGTAAGCCATGACATCCGCCCTGAAATAGGTGAACTCAGCTCGGTGGGCAGTGATGTCGGCTCGCATGGCTGCTACATCCTCCTCCAGTGTCTGCAAGCGTGCTCCGAATCCGGGAGTGGGAACTGGAGACTCAGGCAGAGATGCCTCTGAAGAAGACTCCCGAACTCGCTCCTGAGCAGCGGCTCGATCACTGGTATCAGCGGCATCAGCATCATCTGCAGCATCGACATACTCCTCCGCAGGTCGCTCCAGGTCAATGTCCATGCGATCGGTAGCCGGACCGATCGGTGCGTCGTCCGCTGCGATATCTGCTGCTGCTGGAGGTGCCGGCTGTGCCTGGGCTGCCTCCTCCTCCTCTAGGTCAGCTGCTGCCTCTACA